ATGTTGCCACTAGCAGCGATCTGCATGAGGCGCTAAATGATGTGGGGGATCCCCCGGTGAGAGAACAGAGGCTCTCTGAATCTTCCCTCCACCTCAGCCTTGTCGGTTTGGCTCTCACCCTGGGCTGGCCCAGCTCTCAGCAGACATCATAATCAGAAGAGAGCCAAGGCCTCATCACGCTGCACATACCAATGAGACGCGCATATAGCCAGGAGGGAAGTCACCTGACACCTCGCTCTGCAGACACAAGCCCCTCGCGTGGCTTCATTAAGCTTCCTCACTCTGGGGCTTTCGTACATGGCATGTATATGGTAACTATAGGCGCGTGTGCGGCATGCATTCTTTCTAAACAGAGTTCTAAAGCCGTGTATTCTCGCTCGGGGAGTTGTTCCTGTCACATGTGTAATCCAAAGACAATAAGTCTCACAGCAGTTTAACCTACGTCCTCCTTAACCTCTCAGTTTGCAGAAATTGTCCACTTGTCAAATGAAATTCCATCACGTTGTTGTTTGCCGAGACAATCATCCGCCCTCGGAACGAGCCACGTGTCTGCAGGTGGCGGTGTGCATAAACACTACATAGATGTGGCTGTTTTACACGGCTGCTTGATTGAATCCAGCACAGTGTGACTGCACACAGGCGGGTGTTAGGAGTAACAGCCGCCAAAGTGGTAACACCGGCGTCGGTAGTGTTGATGGGAGCGATGTGAATGTATTTCTCCACTGGGGGTTTTCCAGACACCCCCATTTCCCCTCCAACATCTTGACGCATCATGGCAGCTTTTTTTTTTTTTTTTTCTTTTCGCTTTATACATCATAACTCCTTAGACAGAGGTGAGGTTGCCATTGGTATGCACAGACAACACCGGCAGATTCACCACCCAGAATACTGCTGGGAGATTATACCCTTCCCGCTCCACGCAGCAGGGATTCGGCCATCGTAAATAGAGCACTTGGGAGTGTGCGGTGTGCCTGGAATGACAGAGGACCGCAGCCAGCCAGACGCAGAGCACAAACTCAAGGACTGCCGCAAATACCTTAATCTCTCATGCTTTCGGTTGCAGTTTTTAGCTTCTCCTATGGGAACTCAGAAATTGTCGTACAGGAGATCCATCTGGCTGATTGTCGGTGCGCGGTGGGCAGCCGTTGGGGCATGCAGGACATAAGCTACAAACAAAATCTGTGGGACTTCAGAAAAGAAATATCACATGAGATGGCAGAAGGAAAATAACTTTAGTACCGAGTTGTTCACACAGGAACCCCGTTGTCTGTTTGCGTCATCCTTTATGTCAAAGCCACTCAGTCACAGCCAGAATTCAGCCCTAATCACAGTTTACAGAGGAGAAAATTGGCCCCATTTATTTGCTTTTTTGCTCAAACATTATATTAGTTTATTGGTAAATTATTCATTATGTGTTTACATCAAAATCTTGGAAGGAACGGAGCACAAGTTGTAGCTGTGGTTCGGCCTGAAGATCGTATCATAAATGAAAAGCAGGAGTTCTTCTGAAGGGCTTATGTAGTATCAGAGACCAAAAAAACAAAAACAAAACAAAAACAAAACTGAATGGCAGCAAGAGAGGGAATTTCAACAAATATAATGACTTGCTGTTGCTATGGTGTGCAATGACACACAGTGGAAACCGCGACACAGCACAGTGAAATCCTAGATGAGAAGTACTTTAACGACAATCCCAGCAACCTATTACAGTATTAATAGGTAAATAACATGAGTGGATACCCAAGTGTTTTCTTCTTTTTTTCCAAAGAAGTTACAAGCTTAATTAAAATGTTTCATGGTCATTTTCAGTTTTCATCATCAAGTGTAACCAGTGTCAGTTGTTTTTGTTTTTTTTTGCACATACCAATTTCCATTTGTCTTACTTGGGCATACCCCTGACCCATTAAAACTGCATCTGTGCATTTGACTTAATATGGGCACGGAGGGCTGTCTTAATTAATAAGCAGGCATCCACCAAACTAATCTGCCTGTGTTGTGAAGTCTGTCCTTTCCATTAAGTGGGACTCACATTATCTCCTAATCAAATTAGTCACTTAATTGTGGCCCTCCCTTGATGGATCCCATGAAAAAAGGAGCGCCGTGTTTGCTGGAGGGGGATGTGTGAAGATGGAACACGGCTGTTTCATTACGATATGAATTTTTTAATAACCAAAGCGTTCGCTGTCATCTCCTTGCTTTGAACCTTTGCAAAGGGTGAAGTTGAATTTGACATTTTAAACACTCGCAGTGTCGAGTGTCTCGCTGGTGTGTTGGGGCTAAGTACCTAGCCCATGGCCACTACCCAATTGCCCAACAGGGGATTGACCCCTGTCATCCGCTGATCACTAGTCTGCCTTCTTAATCACTTCCCCACACCGCCAGCTGCACTACCTGATCTTAGTCAATACATTAGCTCCTTCAGCCGCTGTTCCCTGAGTCATGATTAAGGAGGGAAACCTTATGTGACCAAAGACACTGCTCTGTCCATCCTCGGACGTGTGTGTGTGTGTGTGTGTGTGCATGTGCGTGCGGGGGGGGGGCAAAGGCAACCCCTGCGGCGTTAAGAGAAGCTGCGGTGGCCAGCATCCGTTGGGGGGGTGGGGAGGGGTGGGGGGGTGTCCGTGGGGAAACCCCAGGCGTCTGATGAATGGCGGCATGTGTGGTCGTTTGTCCCGCTGATGGAGTTTTATCCCCTGCCCTTTCAGAGCAGCCAGACAATAAAGAGAGCCACAGCCAAGCGTGACAGGTTAACCCAACAGTAATAGAATACTCTTAATAGTCTGGCCTGAGCCAAAGTCGGCAGCGGGGCCAGCCAAATCGCCGGGCTACCTCGGCGTTGAGAGTGCGGGGTGGGGGTGGGGGGTGGGGATGTGACGCGACGCGGCACCGGCTCTTACTGTTGTCAGACAGGGGAGCAAGGACAAAGAGGGCAGCTTGATGGCTTAATGGGTGGTTTGATGGCTTCATAGGGTGAAATTGAAGTTGGTGAGGGCAACCAAACAGATGAAACAGTGCAGAGGGGGCATTATACAAAACGGAAATTAGCCATATATAAGCATGACGTCAGCCAACTGTATCAAGTTATGTATTTAATAGGAATCCTTGATCTTAAAGCGAGGTGGCATTGTCTCTCTGCCTCGCCTTCGTATGGAGAATGATTTACAGTGGATGCTATGACGCTGTGGTAATGCCTATACAGACGGCAGAAAATAAACACGATCAAACTGAGCAAACAGTCAGAAGAGATTTAGATGATGTTGTCATGACGTTGACATGAACGTGTCTGTTTTCTGGCAGATAATCCTCACAAAGAGAATCCTCCGGGCTACACGCACCCGCGCAGGCGACGCTTCTGTCGGTGTTTGTTTCTGTAGCACCTCTGCTCGCAGTTTGTCATGTCTGACTTGGGCTTTAATTAGGCCTGCGAATTGAAGCGGCGGCAGCAGGGCTGGGAGCCCTCTGTCCACAGCTCAGCCGTCCTCCACGGCGTCTCCTCGGAGGACCTCTCTGCTCTGTGTGGTTAAGATAATAGAAGCTCGCTCAGAAGATGTTAATTGAGGGGAGATAAAGTGCAGTAGTGGCTGGAGGGATGCAACGTGCGGGGGTGGAGAGGAAGGAGGGAGGGCTACCTGATTAGAGGCTGAGGTGTTTGACTTACAGCTCTTCTTTTTTTTTTTTTGGTGATATATATTCTGCTAGATTTTCAAAAAAAAAAAAAAAAAAAAGGAAGAAAGAAAATACAGGAGCAGCATGCATCAAAAAAACCAGGCCTAAAAGACAGTTATTAAAGTTTCTCCTCAATCATTTGTGTTGTTCAGCACTGTGCCGTGCCATGCTGTGCTAGCCTTGCAAGACCCGATAAGGCCAGCAGGATTAATATATTTTACCTCTCAGTAGCTGCTGGAGCGGAATGGCGCTGTCAGGCTGTGCGAGGTGGAGGTGATAGTCAGGTTTTGTGGAGCTTTTTTCGGGGGTGGGGGGGGGGAGCCTAGCGGCCACGCGGCCAGGTAGGGTAAGAAGGCAGACTCTATACGTGGGCTGAGGAACAGGAAGCGAGAGACAGAAGTGATCTGACCAAAACAGCTGAAGTGACAGAAGCTACATTAATAGTGGCATATGTCTGGAGCACGGAGGAAGTGAAAGAGAGAGGAAACAGACCCTCCATCAGCCCAGGAGAGGACAGAGGGAACGAGGAAGAGGAGGGGAGGACGAAAAAAAAAAAAAAAGAGGCAGAAAACAGTGCCAGCAGCCTCTATAATTGCCTCAATGCCACTGGGATTGCTTTCATTCAATTGAAGCGTTCTCTTTCGCTGTACATTCGAGGTGGCGCTGGAGGTGAGGATGGAGGGGGTGGAGTTGGGCTGGGTGGCGTGGGCGGGCGGGAGATCCGACGGTGCCCTCCCTCTTTCAGTAACATACAGCGATGAGGGCGATAGCTCCTCTGTAGCGGCTGAATCTCTGGCATCAGTGTGAGCGAGAGAGAGAGAGCGAGCAAGTTAGAGATAGCGTGAGAGAGAGATGGAGAGAGAGAGAGAGAGAGAGCATAGTGCTGTGGAAGAGTGAGGTAGCGATAAGGAGGTAGGTGGACTGCAGATCAGACCTGTCAGATGTGGTTGCGCACCCAAGTGCAACCCCACATGTGAGTGTGTGTGTGTGTGTGTTTTATATTTCCCAAAGACAACCCCCCCCCTCCCACATAACAACACATAGGCTACACACACACACACACACACACACCATCACTGCCCAAACACACACACACATTCCCCGAGAAATCCTTTACTTCTTTATTTGGGCTCCTGTTGGTGCTTGCATTAGATGCTCTGCTCCCTCCTCCCTCTTCTTCTTCTTCTTCTCCTCCTCCTCCTTGTCCTGCTCTTCTCTCCTCCTCCTCCTCCTCCTCCTCTCCCCTCTCTCTTTGCCGCTCTCACAGCCTAGTTTTCTTTTTTTTTCCCTCTTCAATCTTGTGTGTGCAGGTTGTATCTGACGGAGGGACCGGTGCCGCGCTCCCATCCCTGCGCTCCTTCAACAACAACACTGTGAGTATTCTCATGCTAATTTGGCTTCTCCAGCCTTCCCGATGTCGGTTTGTCTCTTTCTCTCTCCCCCTCTCTCCTTTTTTTTTTTTTTTTTTTTTTTAATTCTTTTCCTCTTTTATGTTTTCATCCGCGGCGCCAAACGCAGTGGCAGAGCGGGAAGGGAGGGAAAAGAAGTGGAGACAAAAAAGGATTGAGAGAAGATGCACAGAAATAGAGAGGAGGAGAGGGAAAAGGGAAGAGGGGAGGGGAGAAAGAGAGACAAGGGGGGGAATGAGATTTCTGCTGCCGTCGCTGCTGCGAGCAGCCCGCTCTGCTATCGGAGGTGTTTCTCTTGGAGGATGGTGGAATTGCCGAAGGGATGAAGGGGGCGGGTCTTGGTTTTGTGAGTAGATAGTTGTGCAAGAATGATAGGGGATGTTGTTGACAAGCACAGAGTGGCTCATCAGACAGCCGGGCAGCTGGAACCAAGGTTTTTCTCTGTTGACTAAACTTCTGATTCATCCATCACTTTCCATATTTACACACACAGAGGGACCTCTCCTCTGTCTCCTCCTCTTCTTCTTTTTTTTTTTTCTTTTTTTTTTTTTACTTCTCTTGCTTATTTTGGAAGAAGAGTTTTTTTTCTGTCATGCAGTCATTTCTCATGATGATGTGAGACGTGTGGCGTGTGTGGACGGGTGATGAATCACAGATGGACCTTCACCACAATGTGCAGAGCGCGTGTGTGTGTGTGTATGTGTGTGTGTGTTTGTGTATGCCATTCATAACATGCACTTCATTTTAATGAGCAGCTGCACAAATGAGCTTTTTTCCATTCACCATTTGTGCTCACATGTGTGTGTGTGTGTGTGTGTGTGTGTGTGTATCAGTTTGTTAAGTGAAACATGTTACCACAGGACTATGGATCATAAGAGTTGACTTCTTATGCATACCCATATACATGTATTTGTGTATGTTTAGTGTGTCTTTTACATATGTGTTTGTGTGTGTGTGTGTGTGTGTGTATGTATGTGGAGGTCAGTAAGTCAGTGTCCATTCCCACACGCTGCCCTTTGATCAAAGGGCCACATTTAGTCCGCCCACAGCATGTGTCTGAGCCATATGAAGAGTGGGTGTACGGTGTGTGTGTGTGTGTGTGTGTGTGTGCGTGTGTGGGCGGGCACTGAGATGAATAGGCCCCGTGCCCTCACTGCATTGCCATGGCTAATGGGCACACAGGTCAGCAGGGGTGGACACGCATCCGGCTGTGCGGATATGTCACCGAGACCGAAAACCTCTCTCAGGCCTTCGCCGGGAGTCGCGAAAACACGAATCTTTGCAAGAGAAAAAGCATATTGGGCCAACAAAACGCTCGCAACACACTTTGGCAGATTCATTTGGCAGAGTAAAAGGGATTGATCTGAGCGTGGCAATTAGGCAAATTTCAGAACTAAGCATCTGGCGAGGCGAGAACGCTTCGCCTGGCAGAGGATTACCATTTTAGTTCCATTTTGAGACGACGCAGCCCAGAATGTGTTATTTCACAGCACTCAAGCAGCATGGTGGCTCAGGCAAAACCAGCACATGAGGGATCTCTGTGCAGCGTTTACGTTATGTATGTATGTTGATTTCCATGACCTGCTAAGTAAGAGCGGTGCTTTGATTAATGATGATTAGGTTTAATATGTGTGTTCGAAGCCGTGGCGGCCGACCTCCCTTTCCCTGGCCTTTATGAAAATGAATCGTCAGAGCAAAATGCCCGGGATGATAGCAGCCTGCCGATGAGCTTGCTTTCTAAAGTAGGCTGATATAAATGAGAACCATTCCCCCAATTACGGAAGATTAGGTTACCCTCCACCAATCTGAATCCTTAAATCCCTTCTGTTTTTACAGCTCTGTCTGCCGAATGTAATTCAGCCTCGAGACCTGGGCAGAATAGCAATAAAAGAAGGTAGAAACTTTAGCAGTGAAACCCAGGCAGTAAAAATATCCATTGGGAGAGAGCTAAAGCACATGATAATTGACACAGCGCTGTGTTGCACTTGGCTGTAATTAACTGTGTAACAGAGGTTGTCAGTTGGAAAGGGAGAAAGCCCAGACTCTCTTAGTGCATTTAACACACTTGAAAGTGCAACATTTATCGTGTCTTTCCAGCCTTCACCGAGGGTGCGTTTCAGGTTAGCGTGGGCCTCTCGGCTCTATTTATCCCGATCTTTTACTATAGGCCCAGTTAGACATTATACACTGCTTCTTTTATCCTTTGCACCACAGTTTGAACACATGAAAAATCAAATGGAGCCATTGTTTCTGGGGCGAGCGCAAAAAGCTTATCATCTATTTTTAGTGCGCTTTTCCTCATTGTTGCCTGGGCCACGATTCATGCTTACGTCTAGCGGTTGTGTGCCATAAACTATGTTGTGCTTCACAGCCAGGCGCTGGCTGGTGACAACTCTCACCCACACATTAGTGATCTATGAGCCATATACCACAGGCCCCCTGCTGCCTCACCAGCCGCTTTCAAACGCACAGGACCACAACAATGTCATTCTCCCTGTGTGATAGCACCCATATGCGCCGAGAGCACCTGTATTAGCGTAATGCGCCAGCCCTTTATTTCTCATCACTTATCACAACCAGCTACATGCTGTACCGAAGAGCAGGATGGAAAAAAAAAAAGCTCATAAAGATAAAAATCACATTTCACTAGAGGGTGCTTGTGTGACAGTGATATATGCTGTGAGCATCCTGCCACCTCATTGAGATGGGAGTGAGTTCTGGGTGGCTAAATCAATTTGTGCAAAGGCCGTTGGCGCTAGTATTGGTTTCGTGATATGATCTTTGTTGTCCATTTTTAGAGGTCAGCGCGAGCGCAACGACAAGGGCAGAAGAACCTGACCGCTTTTTCTCTTGTTTCGAGGCTGGTAAACGATCTCCCCCAAGAGGATTGTGGGTAAAGTCAGTCTTGATCAAAAAGGTATATGTTCTTTTTTTTTTTTTTTTGGTTTGTTTTTGTTTCTCTAGCTTTAGACACTATAGATTCTCTATTAAGAATGTGCTTTCATCCATTACCACACACGTCTTGATAGAGTGTCCAGAGCCAGAGGCGAGCTCCGTCCATGCATTAATCGCTGTAATTACTCAGTGAGGGTGACAGTGATTCTGGAGGTGCGTCCGAGCTACATATACCAGTAGATGGACTTGTGCGTGGGTGGGGGTGGGGGCGGATAGGTGAACCTGACTCCCTCTGATGTTAGAGATCTCCGGTCAGGAAGAAGAAAAGCTTCAATATGTGTCAGGAAGTCAAGCAATTTCCTCATATCCATCTCACGAGGCACGACATCGTGCGTTACACAATAAGTCACAATCTGGGGATTTTTTTTTTCTAATAATTTTTTTGTGTGTCTGTGCAGCGGAAAACTACACAGCTTTTGTAAATGCTGTTCAGTCTTTTGATGAACATGATGTCTTTCATGCTTTCAGTCCATGTGAATAAATCGAAGACTAACCGTGTGAAACATTCAAAGTATATATATATATATATATATATATATATATATATATATAAATAAAAGAAGAGGAGTCAAAGTTCCCTTTCATCAAATTCACCAAGGAAGACGTCACATAGTACTGGCCACACTCTTTGACTGACTTGTGATCTCTGGGAAGTGCAGTGCAAAATCACCACAGCAACGACTGCTTAGCAACAAAGATGTTGCCAACAAAAAAAAAAAAGAAAAAAAAAAAAAAACAAACAAAAACAAACACACACACACACACACACACAAAAACTACAAAAAGGAGAGATCTCAGAATTAACAGATGATTTTGTGTGTCAGAATCTAACTCTGCCGCATTTGTTTTATGGCGCGTACCGCTGTGATGCGGCTGTACAGGTGTTCAGTCTGAGAGATGCTCGTAAAAAGAAAAGGAAGCGAGTGGTCAAATCAAGGCTGTCAAGTCAGGGAAATAAAAGCGGAGGAGGGAGAGCTGAACATGCTGCAGCTCTGAGGGCTCCATATTGTGTGTACAAGGGCAGCGGAGTTGGTCTTTGTGTTAGCGCTTCTGGAATGTGTCTTATAATGATGTCAATGTGCAAGTTAATCAGAACGGCATTGTTGGTCATAATAAGTGAATAGAATGTAATAGGTGAATGTCTGTGCCACTTTCCTCCTTATCTCACGGTGACTTTCACTTTCTTGTACTGCCTGCAGCAAGTAATCACGGGAAATATGAGTCAGAGAACCTGTTTTTTAATTAAGGACAGTTCTTAGCATCATTGAAGGGAAATAAAAAGGGACATTTGGACACGTGGCGAGAGTTTTGTTCCCGTACGCGCGCACACACACACATACACGCATGTATGCATGTAGGGCAGTTTTCATTGGGTTTGGTTTTCTCATTTAAACACAGCAGAACCATGTCTGATACCAGCGCACAGGAGAGGAAACCAGGCTGGAACGACAGCGTCGAATATGTGAACATCTCAGTGCTGATGTGTGCAAAGCAGAGTGTGTGTCTGCAGGGGAGGCTTTGAAATTTCATCCACTCCATCCCTTTTAACTCGGCAGAGGGGATGTGTGTGTCTCGCTCCAGTTGGCCAATGGCTGTTAGGAAGCTCCTGAACACCCCCACCACCACCATCCCTCCAACCATTCTAACACACACACACACACATACACACACACACACACACACACACATGCACGCAGGCTCCGTGCTATCTGCCTCCCCTTCTCTTCCCCCAGCCGCTCTTCTACTCCACAGACCTGCATTGTGTCAGATAGTTTAATGTGAAATTGCTTTTCTTTCAAATTTCCCCCTGGAAACGCAGGTCGTCGCAAAATGTTACATCTCATAATGGCGTGTTATTGTTGTTCTTTCATACGAGTCCTTGGCTTCTGAGAGCAGGATTTCTCAGCACAGAGCCGAGGTCACACTCGGCTATTTCTCCCTCAGCTGCTGCCGCCTCTCTTCTCTTTGCCATCTCGGATTCTACACCAAGCTCCTCCTCTGCTGCGCCC